ATGTTCCTGGAGAATGTCATTCTAAGTGAAGTAAGCCAGAAAGAGAAAGAAAAATACCATATGAGATCGCTCATATGTGGAATCTTAAAAAAAAAAAAAAAAAGAAAGAAAGAAAGAAAAGACAAAGACAAATTAACATAAATACAAAACAGAAACAGACTCATAGACATAGAATACAAAGTTGTGGTTGCCAAGGAGGAGGGGGGTGTGAAGGGATAGACTGGGAGTTCAAAATCTGTAGATACTGACAGGCATATGTAGAATAGATAAACAACATTATACTGTATAGCACAGGGAAATATATACAAGATCTTGTGGTAGCTCACAGCGAAAAAGAATGTGACAATGAATATACGTATGTTCATGTATAACTGAAGAACTGTGCTCTACACTGGAATTTGACACAACACTGTAAAATGACTATAATTCGATAAAAAATGTTTTAAAAAAAGACGTACACAACAATATGGACATTGTGTCAAGAAAAGAAATGAAGACAAAATTACCCATTATATATATACAGCAGGAGTGCATTAAAAATGATAAAATTAGCAGCCTGTCCATCATTCTCACTGATTTAAACAGAAAAAGAAAAATTCCTTGGAGAAATCTGAGTTGGAAATCATAACAATAAACTAGTGAACAATAACAATCAAACCCACCAGAAATGTCTTTTAAATGGAGAAAATGCATTTAAATGGAGAAAAATTTAAATTAAATTGAGAATAATTGCTTAATTGATATATTGCTTAACATCATCAGCCACAAGAGCATAATTCAGACCCAAATGACAATTTAATATCCGCAGAGAAATCTACTGAAGAAAATATAAGTTTATTTGAGTAGAAATGAAGAATTATAAAACTTAATACCAAATATAATATACATAGTAACTATCTAAAAACCTCTTTCAGGTGAGATTACTGGTCAAAATAAATATTTTCATTATATTTTAGAAAATTTTATTTGAACAATTATTCAAGAAATCCTGGAAGGTTCTGTACAAATAACATCAGAGTTGCATACTATGATCTAGTGCTTCAAAATAAACTTTTGAGCTCCAGTTGTCTCATATGAGCAGGATTCTTGCCCATACAGACAATATTCAGAGTGATTCAGATCTCTATAGAAGGCTTCTTAGAATTATCTATCAAAATGTAAAGTACACATACCCTTTGACCCAGCAAATCTACTTCCAGGAAGTTATCTTTTTTTTTAAGATCTTAAGAATATTTTAATGTGAATATAATATACGCCGTTTAAATACTCAGATAACTATATTGCTGGCACACAGGAAAAATCTACAGATGACATGACATTGAGAGGGAGAGACAAAACGTGAAAGAACAGAATTAGTATCCAGAATGATGTGAAAATGCTGGAAGACTGGAGAACTCTAATGACATGAAGTTAAACAGGGACAAATGTAAAGTTCTGCCACATGTCCCCCCAATCAACCATAAAAGTATAGAATCATAAGCAGAGGCACATGCAAACAAATTTGGGGATAAGTCAAGTATAAGCTTAGTAATCATTAATTCATTAGTTTATAAGTGCATTCATTCAGACAAGAAATACTATCAACTCTATGCAAGGAAGGCACGGAAGTGGCTCTGGGAACATAACTCAAATTTTGACAGGGCTATTCCAAAATCTTTTCTGCTGATGCCCTGTTCTATTGCAACAATCAGTCCACATATGGACTACGATGTTCTGTTCCCCTCAAGCTGTCCAAGTGTAAAGGTGTCTTCAACAAACCAGATCTTATTCACAATATCTAGAAGCCATGAGAAATGACTAAAATGACTCAAACTGTTTAGAGAGAACAGAAGACGTGAAGTGTAAAAGACTCTCGTCTTTGAATATCCGAGGGTTTCTGTAAGGAAGAGGGGTTGGATTTGTCCTAACTTCAACCCCAGTTAGAACTAGAATCAGTGAGGGAAATTGTGTGAAGGTAGATGTAAAGCACGTATCACATGAGGAGTGACTTTTTCACAATTAGAACTGTCTAAAATGAAATATTCTAATTTCTTTCAGGACAAAGTAACTCTTCTATCAAAGGAACATATAGCTCCCTAAAAAGAAAGGGATGACAACATAGGAAGTTATCTTTTAGCTGCACTGGATACACGCAAATTGACATATATATATGACATTACTTGCTGAAGCACTGTTTATAATAGCGAAAGATTGAAAACAGCCTTAATGCTCATCAGTAGGAACTAGTTAAATTATGATACATTCATAAAATGAAATACAATGCAATAATTTAAGCAAAAGATTAAGTATGGAATTTATGAACAAATATGAAATGATCCCTAAGATCTACTGTTAACTTTTTTTTAAAAAAATGTACAACTTACTCTTCTGGGAAGATAAGTAGATGTAATTTTTCCTATTCCTCCTGATAAGTACAACTAAAAACTCTAGATGTAACATATAAAACAAAAATGAGAAGACCCTAAAAGGTGAAGAGAAGGCAGATAGGCTAGGAACTACAGGATCTAAGGAATGACACAAAGATTTGCCCAGGTTTTGTATTGCCTCCTATATCCCAAACTTAGAGCTGAAGAAGCCAGCAACCTAGAAAATGCAAATGGGCACAGACAAAAGAAATCCCCAACAAAAAGGTGTGGTCTCATTAAAGAATGAGAAAAGACAAATCCCAGCAGGACAGAAAACTTTTAGGCAATAATCACTCTACTGCTGTCAAACACAGTGGCCCCACCCACTCCAACAAAGGCCAAGTTGGGAAGCTGGACTTTTACCTCCACCTGGCAATAACAAGGTGATACATATTCCCTTAAGCCACAAAAATAGAAAGTTGAAATATGACCTAGAATCTCAGAACATAATATCCAACTGTCCAATGTTTCAAATAAAAATCATTCATTATACCAAGAACCAGGAAGATCCCAAGAAGAATTTTAAAAGATAATCAATAAACAACAACACTGAGACGACAAAGATGTTGCAATTATCTGACAAAGATTTTTTAAACCAATCGTGATTAAAATGCTTCAATAAGCAATTACAAACACACTTGGGAAAAAAACACACACAAGATAAAGAGAAAGGAATATAAGTATACCACTAAAGAAAGCCATCAAACCACAAAGGAATAGAGCAAGATAAGAAAAAAGGAATAGAGAGGAAATACAAAAGCATCCAGAAACCAATTAACAAAATGACAATAAGTACATACTTATCAGTAATTTTTTACATGTGAATGGGCTAAATTATCTCAACAAAAGACATAAAGGGGCTAAATGGATTTAGAAAAAACAAGACCCATCTGTATGCTGTCTACAAGAGACCCACTTCAGATATAAAAACACACAAACATTGAAGATCTAGGGATGGAAAAACATATTCCATGCAAATAGAAACCAAAAGAGGCTGGTGTGGTTATATTTATACCGAAAAAAAAAAAAAAGACTTTGAAACAAAAACTGTAGTAAAAGACAAAGTTGAGCATTACATAATGACAGAAGGGTCAATCCACCAAGAGGATACGTTTGTAAATATTTATGCACCCAACATATGAGCACCTAAATATATAAACAGACCTAAAAGTAGAAATAGACAGCAGTATAATAATAGTAGGGGACTTTAATACCTCACTTTCATTAATGGGTAGATTATCCAAACCGAAAATCAGTAAGGAATCATATGCCTTAAATGATACACTAAACCAGACAGACTTAACAGACATATACAGAACATTCCATTCAAAAGCAACAGAATACAATTATTCTCAATTGCTCATGAAATATTTTCCAGGAGAGATCACACATTAGGCCACAAAACAGGTCTTAATAAACCTAAGAGAACTGAAGTCATATAAAGCATATTTTCCAAACAACTGTATGAAACTAGAAATAATTACATAAAGAAAACTGGAAAATTCACAAATACGTGACAGTTAAACAACATGTTACTGAACAATCAATGGGTTACAGAAGAAATAAAAAGAAAAATCAGAAAGTACCTAGAAACAAACAAAAATGAAAATATATAAAAATTTGTGGGATGTGGCAAAAGGAGCTCTGAGAGTGAAGCTCATAGTGACAAATACCAACCTCAAGAAACAAGAAAAGTCTCAAACCACCTAACTTTACATCTCGAGGAACTAGAAAAAGAACAAACAAAGTCCAAAGCTAGGATAAGGAAGGAAACAACAAAGATTAGAGCAGAAATAAATTAAACAGAGACTGAAAAGACAATAGAGAAGATCAATGAAATTAAGAGCTGGTCCTTTGGAAAGATAAACAAAACTGACAAGCCTTTAGCTAGACTTGCCAAAAAAAAAAAAAAAGAGAGAGAGAAAACTCAAATAAATAAATTCAGAAACAAAAGAAGAGATATTACAACTGAAAACACGGAAATATAAAGGATCATAAGAAACTACTATGAACAATCACATTCTAACAAACTGAACAACCTAGAAGAAATGGATAAACTCTGAAAAACATGTAACTCATCAAGACTGAATCATGATGAAATAGAAAATGTGAACAGACCAATTACTAGAGACTGCATCAGTAATCAAAAACCTCCAAACAAACAAAACTGCCAGGAGAGATGGCTTCACTAGCGAATTCTACCAAACAATCAAAGAAGAATGATTAACAATCTTTCTCAAGCTCTTCCAAAAAACGAAACAGGAGGAAACTCTACTAACTTTATTTTATGAGGCCAGCATTACCCTGAAACCAAAACCAGAAAAGCATTATCACAAGACAAGAAAGTTACAGGCCAACATCCTTGATGAACACAGATGCAAAAATCCTCAACAAAATATTTAGCAAACCAAACTAAACAATACATTAAAAGGATCATATACCAAGATTGAGTGAGATAATTCCAGAGATGGAAAATGGTTCAACATCCGCAAATAAGTCAATGTGATACACTGTCTTAATAAAATGAAGAATAAAAATCATACGGTCATTTCAGTAGATGCATCTGACTAAATTAAGCATCCATTAATGATAAAAATTCTCAACAAAGCAAGTACAGAAGGAACATACCTTGCCATAATAAAAGCTATGTATGACAAGCTCACAGCTAACATTATACTCAAAGCGGAAAGCTTTGCCTCTAAAATCAAGAACAAAATGGGGATGACCACTCTCACCACTTTTATTCAACATAGTGTTCAAAGTCCTAGCCAGGGCAATAAGGCAAGAAAAAGAAGTAAAAGGCACCCAAACTGGAAAGAAGTAAAACTGTCACTATTTGCAAATGACATCATAGAAAACCCTAAAGACTTCATCTAAAAACTGTCAGAACTAATAAACAAATTCAGCAAAGTTGCAGGATACAAAATCAATACACAAAAATTTGTTGCATTTCTATACACAAACTATCAGAGAGAGAAATTAAGAAAACAACCCCATTTACAACTGCATCAAAGAGAATAAAATACCCAGGAACAAATTTAACCAAGGAGGTGAAAAATTTATGTATTAAAAACAGTAAGACATTAATGAAAGAAGTTGAAGAAGACACAAACAAATGGAAAGATATTCCATGCTCATGAGTAGGAAGAATCAATATTGTTAAAATGTCATACTACCCAAAACAATCTACAGAGTCAATGCAATCCCTACCAAAATGCCAATGGCATGTTTCACAAAAATGGAAAAAGTAATCCAAAAATTTGTATAGAACTACAAAAGACCTAAGAGTACAAAGCAATCCTGAGAAAGAAGAATAAAGTGGGAAGCAACACACTTCCTGATTTCAAACGATATTACACAGCAACAGTAGTTAAAACACTACGGTATGGGCATAAAAACAGACACACAGATGAGTGGAACAGAAAAGAGAGCCCAGAAATAAACCCACGCACACAGGGTCATTTAATTTACTACAAAGGAGAGAAGAATATAAAATGCGGAAAGGACATTCTCCCCCAATAAACTGTGCTACAAAAACTGGATGGCCACAAGCAAAAGAATGACCAATATATTACACCATACACAAAAATTAATTCAAAATGGATTAAAGACTTGAACATAAGACCTGAAACCGTAAAACTCCTAGAAGAAAACATAAGTAGCAAGCTTCATGACATAGATCTTAGTGATGATTTTTTGAATCTGAACAAAAAGCAAATGCAATGAAAGCAAAAATAAACATGTAGGACTACGTTAAATTAAAAAGCTTCTGCACAGCAAAAGGAATCAACAAAATGAAAAGGCAATCTACTGAATGGAAGAAAATATTTGCAAACATGTATCTGATAAGGAGCTAATATCCAAAATTTATAAAGAATACATACAACTCAATAACAAACAAATAAACAATCCGACTGAAAAATGGGCAGAAGATCTGAATAAACATTTTTCCAAGGAAGACATACAGATGACCAACAGGTACATGAAGAGGTGCTGTAATAATTTGTCATCAACAAACCTATCCTAAAATAATGGCTAAAGGGAATTCTCTAAAGAAAAAAGTGAACAAAAAGGAATCTTGGGACGTTAGGAAAAAAGAAAGAACAACAGAAAGAGAAAAGTGTGGGTAAATACAATAAGCTTTCCCTCTTCTCTCAAGTTTTCTAAATTATGTTTAATGACTGAAGTAAAAATTATAAAACTGTCTGGTATGGTTCTAAGTATATGTCAAAGAAATATTTAAGACAATTATGTTATCAATGGAAAAGCATGAAGGAATAAAAAGGGTGATAAGGTTTCTATATTTCACTCAAACTGGTAAAATCATGACACCAGAAAACTATGATAAAATAGGTATACATAATGTACTATCTAGAGCAATCATTAAAAAAGCTATACAAAGAGACAGTGATAAATACTACAAATACATGTCAATTATATCTCAACTAAAAAGTACTACAGATTAAAACAAAATGGAATTTTTAGCAATGTTCAAGAAACTGAGAACAGAGGAAAAAAAAACAAATTTTTTAAAAAGAGAAAGAACAAACAAAACACAAAATAAAATGTCAGACTTAAGTCGCAACACACCATTACACTACACTAAATGTAATTAATATAAACAAACCAACTGAAAGACAGAGATTGGCAGAGTATATTAAAAAACATGACCCAACTATATACTGTCTATAAGAAACTCGCTTCAAATATATTGTAGCAGGTTCAAAGTAGAAGGTTAGAAAATGTTCATACACATGTAAATATTAATACAAAAAAGCACAAGTAGCTATATTAATACATTATGAAGTAGGCATCAAAGCAAAGAAAATTACTAGAGATAGGAAATTATAAAATTCTAAAATAATCAACCAAGAAAACAATCCTAAATGTGAATGCACCAAAAAAAAAAAAAGTGCAAAATACATGAAGCAAAAACTAACAGAAATGAAAAAAGAAAAAGATTACTACTATAATTACAGCTGGAGATTCCAACATCACTCTCTCAATAACTGATGAAACAAGTAGACAAAAAGTTAAAGATATAGAAGAACTCAACAACACCATTAACTAACAGAATCTAATCAACTCCACCAAATAACAGCAAAACATACCTTCTTTTCAAGTGTCTATGGAACATATACCAAATTATATCATGTCCTGGGCTGGGTCATGAAACAAATTTAAGATATTTTAAATCATTCAGAGTGTATTCTCTGAGCACAATAAAACCAAACTAGAAATCAGTAACAGGATATAACAGGAAAATCTTCAAATACTTGGAAACTAAACAGCACACTTCTAATAAGCCCTGGGTTAAAAAGGAAGCATCAAAGGGAATTTTAAAAATACACTACATTAGTTGAAAATGAAAATAAAACATCAAAATGTGTGGGACACAGCTAAAGCAGTGCTGACAGAGAAATTTATAGTACTAAATGAACACATTAAAAAAGAGGAGCAGTCTCAAATTGATAATCTAAGCTCCCACTGAAGATCCTGGAAAAAGAAGAGCAAAATAAACCCAAAGCAAGCAGAAGGAAGGAAACAGTAAAGTCCAGAAATCAGTAAAATTAAAAAGAGAAAAATAATAGAGAAAATAAGTGAAACAAAGAGTTGGCTTTCTCTTCTGAAAATGTGGTGCTTGAAAGTAAAAGTATATAAATGTTCACCTCCTTTGACCCAGAAATCCCACTCCAGGGAATTGCTTGATTCTAAGCAAATAATTCAAATGAATGTTGTTACAGTATAGTTTGTAATGTGACAAATCTGAAACAAACTCAAAGCCCAAAGTTTAATAAGTTACAGTACACACACACACAAAATAAAAAGAGTTGGCTATCTGAAAAGACCTCTAGCTATCAGCAATGAAACGAGATATCACTACAGACCATGCAGACATCAAAAGGATAATAAGAAAATGGAAAACTAGCACAGACAAAGTTGACAACCTAGATAAAACAGACCAATTCCTAAAAAACACAAACTACCACAATTCACCCAATATGAAATACGTAATTTGAATAGTGATATAATTATTAAATAAATTGATTTATATTAAAATTCACAAAAAAAGAAATCTTTAGATCAACTGGCTTAACTGGAAAGTTCTATCAGAATTTAAAGAATTAACAGCAATTCTACACAATCTCTTCTAGTAAACAGAAGAGGAGAAAATACTTCATTTCAATTCAGTATAGCTTCCAATTCATTCATACAAATCTCCTATTACCTTGATACCAAAACCAGACAAAGATGGTACAAAAAAAAAAAAGTATAGATCAATATCTCCCATGAAAATAAACAGAAAAATTCTTAACA